TTTTGTGAATATACAACAAAGCAAGACCTATTAATCTATCTGCACTCATTTTGGACCTTAACCATGTTTTAAGCAATCGTTAAAATTTAAAATAAAAAATACATGTAGCGTATTCTATAAATAACACAATTGCTTCAATATAGAGTTACAATACAGTATGTGAGTACATATATATATATATATTCTATTATTGATATTATTTCGATAAAGCAATGGGTGTTCCTACATAATTCGCATGCACTTATTATTTTTAGATTTTTAGACACCAAGTCCTAATTAAAGGTATTTTTATTTAATCAGTAAGCCAGTAGCTGAGGAGGGGGCTTGCGCCCCCTGCGCCTCCCTCTGGATCCGCTCCTGAACCGTACACGCATGCTTATACTACGTATAACGAAAGTCCGACCCGCCCGCCCACAAAACACGGCTATACCTTGTGCATGATACGTACTTAAGTCGCATTATTTGTATATACATATATATATATATATATATATATTCTAATTAATATTGAAATTTATATATTAACACGCTTTATTCTAATTAAGAGATATAAATTATTCATTCCGATTACGAGGGATGATTCCTGTATCGTCATTTTTCGTCACTATCTCCATGTTCCGGGAGTGGGCAATTTACGCGCCTGCTGCTTTCCTCGGATGTGGTAGCCGTTTCTCAGACTCCCTCCCCGGAATCGAACCCTGATTTCTCGTTACCCGATACAACCATGATATTGATAGTAACTACTATCATAACATGAAACTAAAAAGTGAAAAAAAAATATAGTTTAAAAAAACTAAAAAAACACGCTTTTAAAGTACATTGAACTAGAAAGTTAAAAATAATTTTCAAAATAAGCTTAAAATAATTATGAACAAAAAATACTAGAATTACTGTGATAAAAGCGTTCATATTTTGTTGAAGGTATTACCTTCAAAAATTGAAAAAAATTCCCGTAATCAAATAAAAAGTTGTTTAATCAGCTTTTTCTATACAAACAATTAAAATCATTAATTTCTAATATTTTTACAGTATTTATTGTCGAATTAGATTTGATTTGATAATAGGTTTCAACTACAAAAGTAAATAATTTTACTTTGTAATTTATTAATTTTTTAACACTATTTGTATGTACTACTACCAGTCTATAATATTCTAATTTTTTTTGTAACATGTTGCTATATAAATCAT